TATAGTCTAAAAGCATAATATTAATCTATCTACTAGCATCAAGCGCTTAAATATATTCTCCAAGACTCAAATAAAGTGATCACAATGCTCTGGATAAATAAGAGTAAAAACCTACTTTATCTCCTACCCTGTCAACTGCTGGATACATAAACCACAGTAATAATCCTTCCACTAGTCATTCTTAAGCAGAATATGCTCTGTTAATATTAAGACACCAGAATTAAAGCCACCCTATAAAATCAGACTTATAAATTAATATATCTAAGATCTAGTTCTCTTATCTTAATAAATATTGAGCAGGTTATACATCTGAATTTCTACATCTTTTTTCTTCAACTACAGCTTGCTTAATAGCTTAATCAAGTCATCTTTAATGAGTACTATCTCATCCTAACCGTCACGGCATACTAAAAGTGGATGGCCCTAGTCCTAACCTTATAAGAGATTCAATGTCTCATAATTTTCCTGACAGACACGCTGCCACCAATAATAAAGAAAGAATTCTAGCATACTATATTTTTCTTCTATCCCCAGCTAGTCCACAGCCTAACTACTTACCATGATTTCACCTATAATATATTTTTTAATCCCCCCCACCAGGACTTCCTTAATGGATCTACTATCTTATAGATTTAGCATAAATAGACCCAACTCCCTTTCTTAGACTGTGCAATTATCTATTACCATACCTAGACCACCATCAAGAAGATCGCCAAGATCCTACAATGTCCATTCTATTATACTGAATCTGGAACCCAGAATAAGAAAGCCAAGATTCTCTAGGCCTGGCATTATGGCGTATCTAATTGGATTATTACCACTTTAATCTTTAAAATAGGTATTAATTATCCTTATATCTAATTGGTGATTTACCTTGATACTCCATTAAGCCTGATTGATTTCATGCAAGAAGCCAGCCATCTCAGATAAGATCAATAGAGAGATCATTCTATTATCCTTCTTCCTGCGTTATAAAAGGCTTAATCCCCATCATGATTAGGCTAAGCTATATCCTAAGAAGTCCAGACAATACATATTATCCTCAACCAGCCCTAATACTAGATGGCGGCTATAAACTCCTTTCTTGATAGGATTACTAGAGTATATACTGCTCCCAATCCTCTTTATGACTAATACCACCATCACAGCATCAATCCCCCATCCTCCACTACAATGGGCCTGTCTAAATCCAGTGATAATCCTAGTCTAGATCCAATAATTAAATCTCTTCAGCAGATGCAGCAAATACAGTAAGATAGTCAATAGCTCCACAACTATAAAGATTATCTCTAAGCACTCTATAACACCTATCTAATCTATCAGATCCTTCCTTCATCATCTATGGATCCCAGCCCCTATTCCTTTATCCAGTGTTGCAATCCCCAATATTAAGCTTTTCTCTAAGCAAAGAAGCAGGCGCAGAAGGAAAGATCTTAATATAGTGACTAGATCTAATGATTTACCAGATGCTTCCATTATTATAACCTACAGGTAGTGTGTTCCCAACAAGGCCAGGGAGTATACTAGTATCCAGACCTAGTAATACAAGCCTGCTAAGCCATCTATCAAAGAAAGACCTAGAGAAAAGAATTCCTCTCTAAGCTAGGTAGAGAGTATCTCTAATCCAAAGAGACTATATATATGCTCTAGCTTAGATAGAAACAAGTTATCTTTAGTATTAAAAGATCTAATACTGCCTAGATTGCTTATTATGCCTTCTAATCCCTACTAGAACCCTAGAAGTAGACTTTATTTATTATACATAATTTTATTATATATTTTTCACATATCATCTATATATATATATTTCTCATATATATCTATTATATCCATCTATCCCTAGATTTCTTCTTTTTTTATTTTAGCATAACTCTATTATTTATTATAAACACTGGTACTAGAAGCAGTATTTAAATTTATATATAGTCATTAGTTTCGTGCTGAGTGGATAACAGAGGATAGGAATAACAGCAAGTAGCTAGACTAGATCTATATGTGGTTTAAGCACAAGGTATAATGAAGTAGGTTAAAGAGGATATAACTAATTTAGATATTTTATTAACTTAGCCTATTTATTATTGTGCTGTGATACTCAGTAAGTGTAGAAATCTACATTTTTAGCAACCTCAGATACTCCTAGGCCCCCTGCCTAGAAGCGTTAATCAGCTAAACTATTAATCTTCTTAATACAAGAATGTCTCACTTAATGAGCATATATAATAATCTTAGATGCTCCTAGGCTCTCTGTTTGAGAGTATTAATTAGCTAAGCCATTAATCTTTCTAATATAAGAATGTCTTATTTAATAAGCATATACAATAATCTTAGGTGCTCCTAGGCCTCCTATCTAGAAGTGTTAACTAGTTAAGCTATTAATCTTTCTGATGCGAGAATATCTTACTTAATAAATATATATAATAATCTTAGGTGCTCCTAGGCCTCCTACCTGGAAGTATTAATTAGTTAAATTATTAATCTTTCTAGTACAAGAACATCTCACTTAACAAGTATATATAACAATCTTAGATGCTCCCGGGCCCTCTATCTAGAAGTGTTAATTAGCTAAGCCATTAATCTTCTTAGTACAAGAATGTCTTACTTAATAAGTATATATAATAATCTTAGGTGCTCTTAGGCCCCCTGCCTAAAAGTATTAACCAGCCAAGCCATTAATCTTTCTAATATGAGAACATCTTACTTAATAAGTATACACAACAATCTCAGATACTTCTGGGCCCTTTATCTGGGAGTATTAACTAGCCAAGCTATTAATTTTTTTAGTGTAAGAATGTCTTACTTAATAAGTATATATAATAACCTTAGATGCTCCTGGGTCTTCTATCTGGAAGTATTAACTAGCTAAGTTATTAATCTTCCTAATACAAGAACATCTTACTTAATAAGTATATATAATAATCTTAGATACTTTTGGGCCCCTTATCTAGGAGTGTTAACTAGCTAAGTTATTAATCTTTCTAGTATGAGAATGTCTCATTTAATAAGCATACACAACAACCTCAAGTGCTTCTGGGTCCCTTACCCAGAAATATTAACCAGCCAACCTATTATGCTTTCTGAGAGCAATAGCCACTGCGTTTCTATTATTCTTCATCACCACAAAAAGAATCTATATTTTTTCCTATTAGCTATAATAGCCACTAATTTGGGAGCTATTCTCTTTAAGCTATTAATTACTAGCTAGCCTTCTCTACTACTTCTTCCCCTAGAGCTTCTACAACATATCTATACCAGCTACAGGATCCCGTCAACCAATAAAATCTTATTATCTGTCGTTTTATATAACTAAAGGGCTTAGTTTATCTCATCTTAACCTCAGACCCTATCGTGATGAGTCTTGGCCTATATTTTTGTGGACTTGTTATTAATCATTTTTCTATCTAAGCTAACTCGTCATTAGTTCTTTTCTCTTGTAAATAACACTATATTTTAACTAGCAGAAGAGGGCGCTGCAGTAGTTATAAAGATTATAGATATAGAGAAAATTGTAATTTTACTAGATTAATGTATTTGGAAAAAGTTTAAGAGAATGTATTAATATAGGTGATAAATAAACTCTAAGAATAAGACTAAATTGAGTTTAATAGTATTTTAGATCTAGTAAAAATAAGTATTGTATACCTGCTGTAAGTATAGCCAATTACCACAAGATTCTGTATATTAAGGTTTAGCAGAGATTGATTGCTAGAGGAATATTACAAGCTTAATTAATATCCCTATCTTGGCCCGTATGACATTAGCCTAATAATTGAGGCTTTAAAGGGAACAACTGATACATCTATAGCTAGCATCACTGGTGGTGAAAAATTACCATGACGCGAAAGGCTATTGAGATATTGTAGTCTAGATGTAGACTAGTATTATTATACTCTATTGGTTGCCTACTCTAAATATAGACCAGGGCCTAGGATCTACTTAGGGAACTTCCCTACTAAACTCTTGATCATAATCAACAACTTAATCATAAGCTAAATCGAATTAGGTTTAGCGCAAGATAGTGTTAATTTCTACAAGGCCTCTTCCTTATCTTTCTTTCTTTCCTTCTCTACCCCTTGACTTAATTATTTTTCATCTTAATATCTTCTGCAGCATTTACCTAATCATCATATATCTACCCTCAGTCAAAAGCTCTTGATCTAACAAAGAGAACAAGCCTATTTTTACTACTATAAAGGATAAATAGCACAAGATATATCACTAAATATCACTATGTTGGATTCAATCATGAGTAGGCTTAAATCAGCAACACATCGACCAATATTATATGTCTCTCAATTTCTTTAATCCTCACACTCAGCCCCCATATCAGTGATCATGGTTCCGGGCAAGGGCCTAGAATCAACCATCTATATCTTGATTTATATATTGAGACGAGCTATCTTCAGTCAACATAAAGTAAGATAACATCCTACCTAACTCAATATTAGTAAATGCTAACTATTGATTGTTCAACTTGCCTAGTTAGTTAATAACTACGTCTTTATCCGGCACTACTGGAGTAGTGATAATGGGGCGAAAGTTTGAGAACGACGACCAGGTATTTGATTTTATAGAGAGTGGGATCCTTGATCGTGATGCGATAGGCGCTTTTATCGCACAAGCCATGGCCGAGGTCTTAGATAGATGCTGCAATGTGTTCTATAAAATTGACGGCTTTGTGACCAGGCTTATGAAAGTTAGTGGGAGGGTTCTTCTAGAGTCGAAAAACAAGGAATGATAGGAGTAATATGAGTTGGGTGACGTATGGAAAAAACTATTGGAAATCAAGAGGAAATATCAATTAGATTGGGCACGAAGGACCGGCAATCACATGAGTAAAGTGACAGCAGTATGGGGTGCTGCCAGCTTATATTTAGTTAGCAAGGGTATCTCGAAGAACAAGGCCGCATATTATAATGCGTTGGTGACCACTTGCCCAACGTGGGAGGATGCATGGCATTATTTCAACCATATGCTATATGATTACTGTATAAACTATCAACATGGTCAATCATTTAGCATGATTATTAGCACCACTAACACTAAAAGTACATGAGATCTAGCCTAGGGAAATGCTTAGCTACTGGTGCTAAGCAGCAACAAATTGCAGCATTTGAACAGCATAACTAGGGAAACATATGATTTTAACCAATATGGATTGCTCATCATCCGCGCTTATACTAGAGCACAGCTGGCAGATTCCTCCATTATCACATTATTATATAGCGGAGAACTAGGATACGCAGAGATCATTGGTGAAGTCACTAAAGCCAACACCCTCAGACTAGACCGTATGGGCTTGGGCTCATCATGGCGACCTGACTGTAGAAAGGATGGACAAGTTGTATCCCTGTCTAATAGACCCGAGCATATTGCAGTCAAGTACAATGATAATAATTCTATTGACGACATCGACATGGATGGAGTTGGAGGCGACGATATCCAGTCCAACCACGAGCCAATGCATGGTGATCCCGAGCCTCACTTGACCGTAAACTCCGGGCCTCCTGCCCCAGAGCATATAGGCGATGATGATGCTCTAATAGTTGATTCTATAAACCCCAAGCGTGACAAGTCGGGTGCTTCCGGGCCCCCTGTCCCAGAGTGCATGAGCGATGATGATGCTCTAATAATTGAATCTGCAAACCCCAAGCGTGATGAGTTAGGTGCTTCTGGGCCCCCTGCCCTAGAGCATATAGGCGACGATGATGCTCCAATAGTTGAATCTGCAAACCCCAAGCGTGACGAGTTAGGTGCTCCTAGGCCCCCTACCCCAGAGCATATAGGCGACGATGATACTCTAATGGTTGAATCTGCAAACCCCAAGCGTGACAAGTTAGATGCTCCCGGGCCCCCTGCCCCAGAGCACCTTGGGAATAGACCAACCCACGATATAGCATAGGATCATGAAGGAGATGACCTCATCTCTAGGGCTGATGCCGCCCACTAGTTATTAGACATGCTTTAAAGCAAGGAACGGAGAAAAGGATCACAACCTATATTGATTCCTGATATATAACCTATGCCAGCCCCTGTTATGCAATCTGCTACCAACATAACAAAAACCAATGTCAGCCAAACAAAGTCTTATGGAAACCGCTATGTGAAGGATTAGTGCGCCTGTGTGCAGGTAATGAGTGGTATAAATATTCAGGCTGTGGCTAGCTTAGTGAGGTATAATGAACGGAATCCCTATAATGAAGTTCAAGCAATTGCAGTGTTCCATGCAATCACTACTAATCTTAAGGCTATAAAGGATTCTCTAATAATTAAGAGAAATAAGATCATGTGTGATAATCATATAAGTATATTAGCTACAGCTATTAACATGAACATTCAACGCTAAAGGCTTTCCATAGTTATCCACCAGTTCCATGCGGTCGCCAAACATGCTAGCAGTTAGGATGAGTAGTATCAGAGAAATGTCCATCATGCAACTCAGTTTAAATGGTTCTGCCATAACCATATCAAATACCGCAAGATTTTAATTAATAAGTTGGAACCTTTTTGCAGTATTTCTGTTAAAGATATTGATACTGAACTATCTCCCGCATTCTTTAACATCGCAGTAACCAAAGCGGGTCTAGCAGATATTCTATTAGATATTCTCCGTTAATGCTATATCACAGGCGACAATCTTGACCATAGTTTTCGCATTAAGGGTTTGATTACCTTGGAGAAGTTATTTTCGTAGTAGAATAATGGTCACGCACCCACCATAGCCAAGATTGCCCAGGAGGAATTTGACACTTTCAAATATTATTTAAAAACTAAATATAAGCTAGAAAATAATATATCTCTAGTCTGCATTTTCTTCCAGTACACTCTTACCCAGCATCTTATATAAATAGATCTAGTTCTTTTCATCATACAGCATTATCTTCAGCTATTCTTCTGTGAAGAGAATGCACTTAATCCTTGTACCATGGCAATTCTCCTACCAGCTATCTATGCACACCCTTGAACTGTGTCCTCATCCACCTGGATGCACAATCTAAACTAGGATAATAAGGACACATACCACACCCCCTTATATAGTGTTATCCTTATCATTAACCAGGACAGTGCTGGTATACAATACTATGCCATACTATTTAGAACTAACAGAGCAGTTACTCTACAATTTGCAAAAAAGTATAAAGAATTAAACAATCCACTTGAATTTGCCCCTATGTTAATTCGGATAAATCCCAACATCACTATAAAGGTGCATCAGTCCTAGACCTAGATATTCCCCATCACTAAAGCAACAGTTTCTATGTTAAGCGCGGTGATCTAGGACAGATATATCCCCATAACACCATATTCAAAACCTTATGGTCATGAGAATGAATAGATCCTCATATATCAGATTTATTTCACTTATCTAGAATATAAAGATACAATCCGCTATCCTTAGCTAGAGAAAGCCCACACTAATTGCCATCCATTATACACTAATACCAACAGGCAGGCTATACAGTTCATAGAGATGCCAGACTACTATAGATTATCCTATCTTACCCCTCTTAGTAGCATTAATAATCTAGGTTGGGCTATTCTAGCCTAGCAGCTGTGGGGGGCTGGCGCTATATCTATTACTGCTCTTCTACTTGGGCTGGACTATAATGCTATATGATCATATATATAGAATTAGCATAGCCTTGCACAGCATATCCTACGAACACAATGGACAGAAATTCAGCGCATAGAGGATGAGTACTATCACGAATAGGGCTTTAGCAATGCCATTGATGGGAGGGAGTTATCTGCATCTAAGGAGGAGTGTGAATGGATTAAAACCAGTGATCCTGCTTATATTGATATAGATACTGCATCTACATATGAGGATAATGATGGGGACAAGAATGGGGACAATAATAATGATTATAATGGAGAAGATAAAGAATGAGATTACAATTTTTTAGAGAATAAGAAAGTGAGATCAGAAAATTAGAAGGAGAGTAAGACAAATTAAATATAGGTTAATATGAATAGCCTAGTTCTATATTATACAACTATGATAGAGTATAATCAACTCGTTACTAGAAACAAATGCTTCCCTAGTTTCCATAATTAGTATAACACTACACTATATAATAAAGGCCTAAGAGGATTATAGTACCACAGTAAGCAGTCTATTTAGAGATATATAAGTCCTTATAAATACCGCTAAGAATATTAGAGTAGACACCAATATTAAAATCCTTAAAGACTTAAGCACTAAAGATAACAATAAGAATCATTTGCCTCATCTAGATTGGAAAGCCATAACCCAGCTAGTTATAACATTCTTTTTCTATAAGCTCCTCCTTGTCCTGAAGCTGCACAGTCTGGTTCTCCACAGTCTAGTAGATGTGACGGACAGGGTTTACCAGCTCAGAAGGAACAGTCAGGTTAGCTTAAATATTATAAAAGTTCTCTAAGTTATATACCTTCTCAGTAGTATTAACAGACATAGGCTTAGATTTCTATCCAGTGTCTTAATAGGCATTACTATCTTAAGTAAGATAATAGATATTTATTAATATAGAAATGACTATAACATGATTAATAAGTACTTTAAAAATATTTTAAAGTAAGATAAGTAAGAGTAAGTTAAATAAGGATAATATTATAAGAAAAAAAATAGAATATAGATATATTAGAAAAGAGATTATAAGAGGAAAAGAGATAGAGAAAAGAATAATTAAGTTTTATAAAAATATAAAGTAGAAAATAATAAATAGATATAAGATAAGATAATACTTATATATATATTTTAGCTATAGATATTTTAGATATATATTTTTATCTAATATAGAATTAATTCCTAGAGGTTATAATAATAAAAGATTATATTTAGAATAATTCTAA